AAAAATGCTAATATCAAAAGGACTGTCCCTGCTAGCACCACTCATTGTGAACAGAGTACGTTGGGTTATAGTTTATAGTAGTGTACATATATATATAGTACGCGGTCGGCTTCCAATGTTTTTATGTCCCCAACTTCAGCAAAATTGTGGTATTTTGCGACCATTCATTGCAATCGATAATTCCTGTCGTGTAACCGACATGGTTCAGTCCCACTGGTCATGCGTTTTTACCAAAGCAGTTCTACTCAAAGTTGGTGACTAATGAACACATAGTTATTGTTATTTGTTCAAAGATTGTAGATGCTGTTCATTTCGACGATAATTTATAACGATCAAATAAACTCTAGAAGTCCCATCCCAAAAATCACCCACTGGATTGGACGCAAGTTCGACTGACGAAATCACACTTCGAAAACTCATATCTTTAACCCGACTGGAGTTTAATCAGATTGTGGTAGATTTCGAAACTTATGTTTATTTTGAAGTGAATAAATTTCTCCTAGATTATCGTACTTCCTATAGTTGACGTGAAAACAAAAACAAAACGAATCTATCCCTGACACCTCATTTTGTTATTGATTTGAGCAAGTACAATAACAGTCATTCAGTAACAACGTAGAACTTCGTACGTACGTACATCAGTTCGAGTTGCCACACCACCTTAGCACAGAGATGCAGTTGTCGACTGAAATCCCCTAGTGGTAGAGTTAGTAAGAGTATAAGCAGTAATCGGGAAGATTAGGGTTTGGAGATGTTATTTAAAGAGTGTAATCCAGTGAAATAAATTTGGAAAGAGGAAAAAAGGGACATGAAGAATTCAGACTAGAATTTGGGAGAACACAAAGAGTGGATGCACCTGCACCATTGCAAACGATTTTGAGCCATGTCATTCTGGGTCTCAAACCATCGGTTGCTATCATCTCGTGGTCCCCAACCAGGTAGTCTACACCTACCAACATGACTCAGTCCACTTGTCAGTGACTTCATGAAGTTGTGCCATGTTTTGGTTTGGCCGCCCCTAACTTTCTTCCAACCTACTCCTATACCACTGAACATAGCACGTCGAGGTAGTCGGTCGTTGGGCATACGTAACACGTGTCCCAGCCATCTCAACTGATGAAGTTTCACTACTTCATCAATTGATTTGCCATCCTTACCTAGTACCCGTTTCCTAACAACTGTGTTACTTACTCGATGGTCCCAGGATATACGAGCAATGTTTCGAAGACACCTATGATCAAATACTAGTAGCCTACGGATATCCTCTCCTCTTACCGGCCATGTTTCACTCTCATAAAGTAGGACGGAACGAACTGCTGCGCAGTAAACGCGTCCTTTGGTTGATAGACGGATATCTCGCCTACGCCATAAATGACGCAAGTTGGCAAAAGCTAGTCGAGCCTTCTGTATCCGTGCTGAGATTTCGTCACACACCAGACCACAAGGGCTGATGAGACTTCCAAGATAAGTGAAGCGGTCGACACACTCAACTACTTCACTCCCTATTACTAGTTCGGGTGTCGATGTAACCCAATAAAACTATGTCATCAGCTGAGATTGAAACACTTAACTGATATGCATACAATCAGAAATAAACTAATCAATCAAACTGCTTTATAAAAGCTGGTCTGAATGTAGTTATTTCAGATGGCGAGAAACAGGCGTCTAGTGTTTCATTTACAATCGAGAATGCACCACATATTGTGTAATTTTACAAAAAAGAAAACGAATGAGCGATAGACGTCTTTTTAAGCAAACAAATACACTTCGACTTAAAAACGTTGACAATGTGGTTCATCCAGGTACGAGTCCAAACTAATCTAAGATAAATTGCAGCAAGGTCATGCCTTTTGATTTCCGGTCAGAAAATAACATTCTTTAAGCAAAAATATGCAACCAAGTCCCGCTCTCCGTATATTACCAGGTTAACTGTTCCTGTGAAACCAATAATATTAGATTAGAAATTATAGGTTCGTCAACACGTTACACATGTAGGGCTGGTGGAGATATCACCTATTTTATGGCATTCAGGCCACAGAACCGATATGAAGGTCGCTAAATAACTACTATCCAGTCACACAGTGCCAGAATTCATTTCTTACGCGCAGCGGATTACACAAATCAGCTCAACCTTCGTGTAGGAAATAGGTTTGGCCAGCTTTCTTTCTCCTGATCATGTACCTAATTGTGCGTTAGCACTGACATTTTGCAACCTTTTTTCTGTCCTTATGTAGTCTTTTATTTCAATCAGTTTGCCTAATTATTTCTGCTTCATATATATATATATATATATATATATATATATATATATATATATATATATATACGAGGTATAATGAAAATCCAATATTAAGTTACATTTTGTCACTTAGCTTGTTAAAGTCTAGGTCCAAATCTCAGTACTTCTCAATACGTTTCTAGTGCAACAAGTATAGGTAGGGGTGGAGACATCTATACTGCAGTTCAGCCAAACATAAAGACATGAAGTTATGCTTCGAACTAAGAATTTTTTAATCCTGATTCGATAAAGGGAAGTCAGTCAGCTACAACGTAGGACCAGGCACATATATGCATCGGTCCAGGTTGCCATACCTCATTAGCACAGCAAGATGAACACCGGGTTCATAGGAGTGGTTAGGTAAAAGGTGGTAATATATAAAGATACAGTACAGGAAAAAAGAATTAGTTCCTAGAAAGAAAGATATGAAGCGATTTTAATCTCTTAGTTTGAGGGCAGACAGAGAGTGTATACACCGACGCCACTGTGATCGATTCTGAGTCATGTCACCAAGAGTCTCCAACCATTGGTTACGATAGTCACGCGGACCCCAACCAAGTAGTCTGCATCTCCCAACATGGCTCAAACTACAAGTTAGTGACTTCAAGCACTGATGCCACGTTTTGGTTTGGCCGCCCCTAACCTTCCAACCATCTCCAATACCGGATAGCATTGCACGTCGTGGTAATCGGTATTCAGCCATAAGTAACACGTGGCCCAACCATCTCAATCGATGAAGATTCACAAGCTGATCAACTGATTTACCACCATTCCCTAATACCCTGCGTCTAATCTCACTATTACTTATCCGGTGATCCCAGCAGACGCCAGCATTATTTCTGAGGAATCTGTGGTCAAATATTAGTAGCTTACGAGTACCTTCTATTCTTATTGGCCATGTTTTGCTGCCGTAAATTAAAACAGAACGGACTGCCGCGCAGTATACTCGTCCTTTAATTGATAGACGGATATCTCGCCTTCGCCATAGGTGACGTAAGTTGGCAAAAGCCAAAAGACCTTTTCGAATCCGTGCTGAGATTTCGTCACACACCAACCCATTAGGGCTGATCAGACTTCCAAGATAAGTGAAGTTGTCAACGCGTTCGACTACTTCACTCCCTATCCTTAGTTCAGGTGTTAACGCAGACCAGTCCTGAAGCAACAACTTGCATTTAGAGGGAGAGAAGCGCATTCCGAACATTCCGGCATTGTTGCTCAGTGCTACCAGAAGACTGCATTTTGTCAGCGTCTTCACCAAACAGGACTATATCATCTGCGTATTCTAAGTCGATAAGTGGACCTCCTGGATGGAGACCAATACCCGAGAACTCAGTCGACGAGAAAGTTATTTCCATTAGTAGATCTATGATGAAGTTAAACAAAAATGAGGAAAGTGGAGAGCCTTGACGGACACCACTTGAGGTTGCAAAAGTAGATGACAGTTCGCCATAAGCTCTCACTCGACTTGTAGTGCCTTTACAAGGTTTATGTACTTCTGTGGTACGCCATTCAATGACAGACACTGCCACAGAATCTAGCGGTCTACGGAGTCAAATGCTGCTTTTAAGTCGAGAAAGATCACCATTGTCGGACGCCGATAAGTTTGCCTGTGTTCTAGAATCTGACGAATGGTGAATATGTGGTCGATGCAGCCATGACCAGGTCTGAAGTCAGCTTGGTTCTCTCGTGTTTGCAGTTCACGAGTCTTAGTTAGGCGTCTGATAATTATCGAGGCTAGTTTTTTCCTTAAAGACTTCTGGAGCCAATCCATCTGCCCTTCCTCGTTTCAGATTAACTATAGCCTTTTGAACTTCTGCTAGGGCACACTAATTGTAGTAGCGCAAGTAGTAAACGTGATATCCGTCAACACTCAGTTCATTAGGCCCCACAAAGCCGAATGTCAACAGACAGCATAACACAGTTCGCTGCAACTTATACCGGACAAACCACAGACGATTTGTTAGCTAACATAGTTCTGGAAATCTTATATTGATTGCGACAAATATGTCCTCGCACTGAGATAGAGCCATTGATAATAATCACACACCCACAAATTATATTTCTAACAAACCTGCCATTGATATCAATCTTATCAAATAACACTCTGCATAGCTAAGCTAACAAAAAGTCGCGCAACACTACATGGTGAAGCCTCTCAGGTAGAAGTCCGAACTCCCTCATCTTAACTCACACGGTAATTCGTATGCAAGGCGGATAAAGCATGACGCAGACGAGTATTAACAACCAGGTTTTTGGACTACCTGGTAAAGGTTTACGTGGTTAGCATGGCCGATAATGGTTCTCGGAGGCGCTAGTTCACTGTTTTCCTACAAAGCTTAGACCTCTCTACCCTCCACAACTTATTTTATACATCACTTACTCATATTTCCCCAAGTCGTAAACTCTATGCCTAATTCTTTCCGTTATTGCTACTACCTATGCTATTCTAGGATTTGCCGTAACAACTACACCACATTTCTAACGAGGTATAACAACTTCAGGTCCTACGTCACAACTGATCAACTTAAAACACCTATTCATGTTTGAACAAAGCAACAAAACTGATTTCAGTGTCACATATTACGGCCATATGTCAGTAAGGTGCGAGTCAGGTAAGCAGTGACCAGCTTAGTTTTCTTATCAATTTACAGCCCGTCATCTGCCATTAAGATTGGAAGTTTACTGTGACATCACACAAGCTGCTGTATTTTGATCTCAGTGACAAATACAGAGATTGTAACAGATCAGACCACAACACAATAAACAGAGCATAACACTATACCTAACAGCTGAAACCTAGAAACAACTCATAGAAACATGAAATTTATTAGGCTTATTTTTAAACAATCGTTAATTCATGCTACTTCGTTTTCTTCTTCCTCGAAATCCCCTTCCTCTTCGGCTGTTGCATCTTGATACTGTTGATACTCGCTGACGAGATCATTCATATTTGATTCTGCCTCTGTGAACTCCATTTCATCCATACCTTCACCTGTATACCAATGCAAAAAAGCCTTGCGTCGGAACATAGCAGTGAACTGCTCGCTAACACGCTTGAATAACTCCTGAATAGCCGTACTGTTCCCGATGAAAGTGACGGACATTTTCAAACCTCTTGGTGGAATGTCACACACAGCTGTCTTGACGTTATTAGGTATCCATTCGACGAAATAGCTCGAATTTTTGTTCTGAACGTTAAGCATTTGCTCATCAACTTCTTTCATTGACATGCGCCCTCTAAACATTGCGGCAACTGTTAAATATCGTCCATGGCGTGGATCGCAAGCGGCCATCATATTCTTCGCGTCAAACATTTGTTGAGTTAATTCAGGTACCGTAAGGGAACGATACTGCTGGCTACCACGACTAGTAAGAGGAGCGAATCCAGGCATGAAAAAGTGTAGACGTGGAAATGGTACCATGTTTACAGCTAATTTCCTTAAATCAGCATTCAGCTGGCCGGGGAATCGAAGACATGTCGTAACACCTGACATGGTCGCACTTACCAAGTGATTTAGGTCACCATATGTTGGAGTGGTGAGCTTTAAAGTTCGGAAGCATATGTCATACAGCGCTTCGTTATCAATGCAATATGTTTCGTCAGTGTTTTCTACAAGCTGGTGAACTGAAAGAGTTGCGTTGTATGGCTCTACGACAGTATCAGATACCTAAGAATAGGACTATAAATAATTGAGTTTACTTTAGGCGATGGAACGACTGAGAAGGTATTCATAATACGGTCTGGATACTCTTCACGGATTTTAGAAATAAGTAGTGTCCCCATTCCGGAACCAGTACCTCCTCCAAGAGAGTGAGTGAGCTGAAAACCCTGAAGACAATCACAAGATTCCGCCTCTTTGCGAACAACATCTAAGACGGAATCAACCAACTCAGCACCTTCGGTGTAATGGCCTTTTGCCCAATTATTTCCAGCCCCACTTTGTCCGAAAACAAAGTTATCTGGTCGGAATAACTGACCAAATGGACCAGCACGCACACTATCCATAGTCCCAGGTTCTAGGTCGACCAGAACAGCACGAGGCACATACTTTCCACCGGTTGCTTCATTGTAATACACATTTATGCGTTCTAGCTGAAGATCAGAGTCCCCATGGTACGTCCCAGTTGGATCAATGCCATGTTCGTCTGATATTACTTCCCAAAACTAAAACCATAAACAATTTAAAATTTTAGTGTCATACACCTCACCTTAGCTCCAATTTGGTTGCCGCACTGACCTGCCTGTATATGAACGATTTCGCGCATCCTAACAAGAGACGAGACACTAAAACAAACAGCGAGCCGGAAGTTTAAATGCAGTAAAATGCCGGTGTCATAGATACATTCCAAGCTTGATGATCAACAGTTAAAACAACCGCAAAAGATTTTCATTATATGAATTATTTCGAAATTTTCCAACGTACTTTTCTTGCAAACCTCTGAAAGCTTTCTTTAAACGTTTTTCATAATCATTTCGAGTACTCAAATCCAAGCCAAATTGTTGAGCTTGTAGATATTTACTTTTATCACGAGAACAGTATTGGTTTAATGAAAACAATTATTATAACCGACTGTACCAGTGTTTGTTTTAATGTGCTTTTGTTTAACTGTGCTAATTACTGCCATTATTTTCCATCATTGTTTCGCGGTTCTTAGCTTTGCTCGCACGTTCTCCGTTCTCCTGATTTCGCTTGTACCATTTTGTGTCACGATCTTGGTATTCATTCGATCCCACGAGATCGCCAATTGAATAAACTTGATTCTAATCCGTCTTCTGATTTGTTTGGCACGTGTTTTCTTGGTAGCGATGTTCATAGTCAACTGGGACTCGACACCACGCTACAAGCTTTTAAATTCAATAAACTATTAGCGACTATATTTATAAGTGTCTTGGAAGTGTTTCTCTAATGACTTATGGGATCCTAAACACTCGCGTACTCCGTAAATATCTATTTAAGCTTAGTATTCATTCAAACATTGGGATAATACGTAGACTTAACATAACAGCGTGGACTGTAGTCACACATTTTACTTTTTCCGAGTGGTCAACTTCTAGATTCCACTGCCTGCTGATCTAGTTCAAGAGACTTCGCAGAAGTCTTAAGCATATTCTTAAGTAATAATGATTGTGTAGTGAAAAAAAACACGAGTGGGGACAATCGAATATATTTGAATACAAAATCACAGGGCATCTTCCTAAAATCTGAGAACCATACTGTAACGACTGAACAACCAATATTCGGTTGGAACAACGAACTGACGAATCAAAATTTCATTTGATTAGACCAGAGCACGTTCCTCTGTATAGCTCACAACGCGTTTTTGAGATACTCGTATTATATTATATCAAAACACAAGCTCTGTGCTCAATATAAACGGTTCTAATTTAGAAAACAGGTGAGATGGTAAGACTGATAACCACACAAAAGCAATTGGTTTACTTATGAAATATCTTGGGATATACTTTATCTAGTAGTATATTGGTACTCATGGAACTTTCTACGTAGATGCATTGACTAATGTGAGAAAATGACTGTCGACAACTCGCTTTATCATCAACCGAACATATTTTGAAGCATCTGTTTTAATCAATGGATCTGAAATCACCAAAATGTATAAATCCATTGGGATAGAAACAGATTCTTCTTTAGGGCTATCACTGATTTCAATCTGTTTACTTTGTTTTAATTCCTTCTCACACTATTTGTGGATTCATACTTATTACCTACAACATAACATAAATATACCACAAGATCTTTAGAATTTCACTATAATCTTCAGTTTTTTCTGGTAGGTGACTACATGAAATTAGCTATATTAATACTTCTATATTGTTCTATAAGTCAATGATGAACAACATCTCTGCGTAAGCGATGTTATTCCAGATATCTAAAAGCATGTGCATTTCCATATTCGGAACATACATAATTCAGATATACTAAATTTTAAGTTAGAAAAAAACGTTTTCCACTTGTGTTATTTTTTATTTAACATGATCAAAGAGGATTGGTAAAAAGATTTGATTAACAAATTTCTTCTAAGCTTTATTAGATTAAGATGAAGTTATATTTAAGCATAAACTATTTGTAAGTGATCTAGTAACGTACTATAATAAAACATTTTATTCTCGATAGCTAAATGTTGTGTGTTATGTTAGAATTTCATTCATTTGAATCGAATATAATGTTATCAAGCCAATCGTTCTGACTGCATTCCACTAAATAATTGTTAAATATGCTAACATAACGCGATGAAAAATGAAAATTCCTTTTTTTAATTCATTGAAATTCCCATTCAACTCCGCTTGTAGCTCTTCTAGAGCTGCTGCCACATAAAGGATAAGTGTTTGGCGTTGGTTCAGCAAGTCAATCCCGAAAAAACCATCTCGCTAACAAACATCAACCAGACTGAACAAATTAAACCATTTAAACGCTTTCCTCTGAGTTGAAGGAAGTCTTATGACGCGTCATGATAAAAGCCGAGATTCTTCGAAAGTCTTGAGACCCATTTGAACAACAACAGAAAGTATATGGAATGTTCGGACGCGGTGGGAAAACGGGAGGACAAGTCAAATTGCAACGGAGATGAGACGATACAACCTAGTTGTGATTAGAATAAGTGAAACCCATTAAATCAAAGTTGATCAGGAAATGATAGATCCGAAATTGATGCTGCTGTATTTGGGTCACGAAGGAGAAAATGCTCAGGGAGTTGTTCTGATGCCGTTCAAAGAAGCATATTCAGAGCCTATGGGATGGGAATCTCATGGCTCCGGAATCATCATAGCGTCCTCCAAAATAAAGAAGTAGGGTATCACAATGAATGCTACTCAATGTTATACACCCACAAATGATAGCAACGACGACTATAGAGACCAGTTTTACGAGAGGCTGCAACAGATCATGGCGAATTGCACAGGAAAGGACCTGGCCATCCCGGTGGAATACCTAAATACCAAGGTATGGATGGACAACAACAGGAATGAAGATGTCATGGGACGACATGAACTGACTAGGAGAAAGGAACGAGAGTCGTGAGTGGTTTACAAATATATGTGCCTTCAACAAAACGATTGTAGGAGGAACTATATTTCCCCGGAAAACGCATTCACAAAGCTACATGGGTATCGCTGAGTCACAATACAGAGAACACGATCGATCATGTTTTCTCACTAAGGAATTCGGAGGATCCACTGAGGACGTTAAAACAAAGGATGTATTTGACACTGAACAACCGTAGAAATAGCCTTAGATAAGTTCGAAACAACCTTTTTTGAGTTACTGACGAACTCAACGTATTCAAGATAGCTCTCAGTAGCAGGTTTCAAGTTTAAAAGACACATTGAACGATCAGGAAACTACTATGGAGGATAACTGTGAAATGATCAAAGAGGGCTTAACTTCAGCGTGTCGGTAGGTTCTGAGCAGCAAGAGTCATCACCATAAATAACGGATTACCATCGATAAACTAGACAGTATCAAAAAAGGAGGAACAAATAAGCAACAAGTACTAAAACATCGATCTCCGTCTGTCGCTTCGAAAAGCTTGTTTCACGTGCGCTTATCCGGGGACCCTGTGACATCTTCGTCTAGCCTTACTGGCGTTGGTGTCGCACTAAGCGCTAGAGCTGAGGCAGCACTAATCGATTGGATCCCCATTAACAGTCGGTTATGTGCTGTTAGATTAGAGAGTTCCATCAAAGTGAGAAGAAATCGGCGTGAGAAATGATGTCTTTTCGTCATCTCCGCCTATGCTCCGAGAGATTCCAGCCCGGATGCAATCGAGGATGAATCCTACCACCAGTTAACTGTTCTTCTCCAGAAAGTGCGTTCGACAGATGTTGTAGTATTACCTGGAGAATTCAATGCTCAGGTCGGGCGTCTAGGCACAGAAGAGAGTCGTTTAGGTGGCCGATAGGGACTTGTTGGTCGCAGGACAGGTAACGGGGACCGTCTACTGCAACTGTGCACAGACCACAACCTGTTTCTGGCTAGCACTAACTTTCGGCACAGTCATCGCCGATTTGCCACCCGGCGTCCTCCCTCTGCATCTCAAACCTGGACTCAGATTGATCACATCGCGATCAGCTACCGCTGGCGTGGTTGTGTACAAGACTGCCGCTCCTTTTCGAGTACCTATCTGGAATCTGATTATGCTTTGGTGTGCGCCAATCTTAATTTACTTTTCAGTGGACAAAGAAGTGACCGCCATCAACGGATTGATATTAGCAAGCTGGTTGCAACTTCTGTTGCAAGTAAGTATCGAACCGAGCTAGCTTGTAGGCTAGCTACCATTCCACCGAAAAGTATAGATGAGCATTGGTTGCAATTGCATGACGCCATGAAAATGGCGGGTACAGTCAGTTGTGGGTTTGCGAAACGTCCCGCTTTTAAGCACTGGGTTTCTTCTGGTTCCTTATAACTCATTGAAGCCCGTCGGTCTACTCCGGGTGACCGTGAGTTTGACCATAAACGAAGGATGTTACGTAAGAAAATCGGGCAAAGCTTGCGTAAGGACCGAGAAGCCTGGTGGTCGGAGTATGCTAATGAGCTGGAAGCAGCAGCTGCATCTGGTAACTACCGTAAGATCTTCCAACTCATTCGAGCCACTAGCAGCAAGAAGTCTGGTGTGAGCGAAACAATCTGTGAGGATGACGGGATGCCAATCACTAACATCCATCGACGTCTTGGACGATGGGTAGAATTTTTCGAATTTTACTTCCGATTGTGTCCAAGCTATTGGCTTCCGTCATACTTCGTAGGTTGTTCAAAACCCGAGAAAGATTGACTCGCGAGGAGCAGGCTGGGTTTCATTCCGGTCGAGGATGTGTTAATCATATCTTCACCCTCCGCCAAATGTTAGAACATCGCCATACTTATCAAAGGCCAACAATCGTAGTGTTTCTTGACATCAGGGCTGCCTTCGATTCGTTGGATAGGACTGTTCTCTGGGATTGTCTATTGAAGAAGGGTGTGCCTGAGAAGTTTATTAACATCCTGAAAACCCTATATAAAAACACCTCAGGCAGAGTGAGGGCATACAACCACCTCTCTCCATTGTTCCATTCGAGCAGTGGTGTTAGGCAGGGTTGCCCAATCTCACCATCCCTCTTCAACTTTGCCATCGATGACATTCTGGAAACAGCTCTGACGAATGTTAGTAATGGTGGTGTGGATCTGTTGCCTGGAGAAAGACTTCTCGACCTTGAGTATGCGGACAATATTGTCTTACTGTGCGATAATGCCCAAGGCATGCAACCCTCATTTAATCAGTTGGCAATCAGTGTCCGTAGGTATGGTATGTGCTTTGCACCTTCCAAGTGCAAAGTACTTCTACAAGACTGGCAGGATTCCTATCCTGTACTCACCCTGGATGGTGAGCAGATAGACGTAGTCGAGAAGTTCGTGTATCTGGGTAGCTGCATAAGTGCTGGTGGTGGCGTGAGTGATGAGATCAATGCACGTATAGTGAAAGCCAGAGCGGCTTATGCCAATCTGGGCCATCTATGGCGCCTTCGTGATGTTAGTTTGGTCGTAAA